GTTTCTCCTTTGTCTCCAGGTGCAAGACGAAACTTTTTCGGGTCGCGGGAAAGGTCCGATTCGAGGTGTCCATCTGATACCTCTTTGTCGACTCTGTTCGAGGACTGTTTATAAAATAATAACACCTGCACTCATAACTCAGGCCGTTATTTACCATTTTTGACGTCTAAGAATTTAACGATCATTTTCACCTTTCACCTATCAAAAATTCCTCTATTTTTTGTTCGAAAAGGTTTATTTCGGCCAACATTTTATAGACACGCGAGTCAAAGATCTACCTGTTTATGAGCGCTCGGGTTAGAGTTTGTCTTCCGCTAAGACATTAACAGATAGTTGACACATACTCGAACCGTTCCGAGTCTCGTTGTTTACATCTCGTGTCGCGCAAGAATTTCACGGTTTACTCGAGTTCGAACCTCGTCTGGGAACTCACAAGAATATTTTGTACCAGGTATGTACCGGTACATCCACCACACATTTTATTTCACCAAGTAAGTTTTTATTATTTTATTTTTAATTGTAGCCCGATTCGGAATGTAATTGTGATATTAAAAGTGCATTTAGAGAAGTCTACGGTTTTTACTGGCTTATTGAACAAACGATACGAATGGATCCTAGACCATCACTGACGCGCGGTTAACTGATTGCCCCTGGAAGTCGGCTTTTTACGGAAACACAGCTTCCCTATCGTAAAATGTCACGGCACGCCACTGGATGACAACAACTTTCAGTTAAAATAAATAAATTGTAATCATTGCTAAATAAGGAATAAAAAAATTCGCATTTTTTAATAAATGTAATATTTTGAAAGAAAATTTTTATATTAGTAGCAAGTAGTATAAAAATAAAAAGAATATAAAGCATATTAAATCAAATCAATGATTTAGCTAGCAAACAAAACTATTGTATTGTAGGAGGGAATTGGACACAGGCAAGTGTATAATATATTGCTGTAATGAATGGTAGTAATAACAACAAAAAAAGTGAAAACTGTAAAGTAAAATAACCTGAAAACAAAATATAAAATTTTTAAATTAGTATTATATGTAAATAAATGGAAATCTAAGTCTGAAACACACACTGGTTAACAGTTGGGCTGTGTGTAGTATAGCAAATCTTTATCATTAGTTAAAATTTCTTTCATAAATTAGGCATTAATAAGTATTATGCTCTAATGTTATCCCATGGTAATAATTTTAATACATAGGTAACTCATGTTTTTATTTTTCTGAAATATTTACTTATTACAAAATTTCAAAAATTAAATTGTTAAAATTATTGTATTACTGTAATTATTATCATGGGATAACATTGGAACTTAATATTTATTTGTGACTAAACAAAGGCATTAGACATTAAGTAAGTTTACAAATCTTTATTATCAAAATGATAATTCTTTATTGAACAAAAATATCTTATAATTGAGAAATTGAAATTATTCCCCAAAATGTTAGCAATTGGTTTTATATGTAAAATTCCGTATTTTTGACAATCAACTTACGTTTAAAAACATTAAATGAAAATTTAATATTTTTTGATAAATTTACTAAATTTTAAACTAGGAAAGTATTTTCACTTTAATATTTAGGTAGAGAAATTATGGGTTTTGAAATGAAGTTAGGATGGGGAAAAGCAGTTCCTATACCTCCTCATCCTATTTACATTCCTCCAGCAATGGTTGAACTTACTCTTCCACCACCGCCATCAGGTTTGCCATTTAATGCTCAGCCGGACAAAAAAGACAGACAAAAATTACCACCTCCAGGTGTGCCATATCCAACAACTAAAGAAGAAAGTGCAGAATTCCAGCAGGTAACATTAAAGATATTTTTATGCATAGTATACATCTGAATTGTTATTGTAATGTAATATTTACATTATACTTTTATTAATTATAATCGTTTCACGAGAAATGTTTGAATCATAAATTATTTTTACTAATGATTTGTTTTTTACTTAAAAAGAAATAAAGAACTGTTAAACAATTAAATTCCAATTTTGGAACCAAATTATAAGTTTTACAGAAACAATTTGCTATTTAATATATGTAGCAGATTGATTAATGTTATACAAGAATATTTTTTTATTCATATATAACATTTATTGTGTCAAACAATTATTTAGCATAAAAAATATATTATAACATAATTATTTCAAATTAAATATCAATAGTAAGAAGAAAGTAGATGTAGAATATCCTGAGACGTCACTATCTTTGTCCAATCCCATATTTAATCACAAACAAAAAAAGAGGTAGTTTTTATTCAATGTATAAAATGCTTTCTGAGCTGGATCAGCTCATCATCAAATATCTTTCCAAACTTCATAAAATCTACAAAAGTTGGAGAAGTTTCAAATTTCAAAGCTTTTATGAAATTTGGCTAGCTTCAGCTTTATTGAAGTATCTGCTCCAAAGAGTTAATTCTCTGTAAACTGGACTATTTTTTAACACTAAACACATCGAAAAAATTAAGTTCAGTCTAGTAACATAAAATAAAAGGATCACAAATGTTTTTGATTTCCTCCCAAGATCTGCTTCAGGTTTAAAGCTAACTGTTCTTTATTTAATATAATCTATTTGAATTTATCAATATAAATTTCAAATTCTGCATATGTTCCATTGTAGAATGGTTAGCTTTAAATCTGAAGCAGATCTCAGGAGGAGGTTGAATACTTTTGTGATTATTTTATTTTATGTTACTGGATGGAACTTAAGTTTTTTGTGGTGTGTTCAGAGTATTTGCATCTTTTCAATTAATTCTCAAACAACCAAGTATTTTCAGATTTTATTTAATATCCATTTTCAGGTATATATATGTGTTTTTCTTCCTCTTCTTGCATCCACTGACTAGCATCTTCAGACTTAGCTTTAAATGGTAAAAATATTTGTTTCTTCTTATTATATTTTCTGATTTGCATTATCAGGCTTCATTTAGAGCTAAATCTGAGGATGCTGGTCAGTAAATGTAAGAGGAGGAAGAAACATTACATATGTATGTATGGGTATTAACACAGATTTTTATCAAAGTCTGAAAGTACTTGGTTGTTTGAGAAATACTTAAAAAGATGCAGATACTCTAATAAAGAAGAGGTTAGGATTTAATCATTGTATAAATACTAATATCCATGTTTATGCAATATCAATGTTCTCTTGTCAAAAAAGTTAACTGTATTCACACCAGTTAACGGCTGATGTGTCTTATTTTATATTCATCCCAGTGTGCTGTGCAGTTATAAAAAATTAAGTTTGTAGAAATACTCTACTACTGCTATATTATACACTTGTAACAATTACTGTACTCAGAGATGTGAACAAAAAATAAAATATTTTATTCCCATCTGTTAACAATTGATTATTAGCAGTTTCTTGTGTTTAATTTGTATACTATTTCATTTTTACAACTTGAATCATTTTATGTGGCATAGTAAAAATTATTGAATCAAAGAATGAGAATTATAATTGAAGAATTCTTAGGTACCTTCCTTCAATGAAGAATGTATTTGAAAAGCCAGCAAAAACCACGATGATTTATTGAAAGGAAACAGATAATTTCATACCTTACATAATTTATTTAAACTTAATTAATAACTGTAGTTAATCAATGCTACATATGCTTTTAATTAAACTGTACTTTTATCTTCAAGCCCATATATATCTTTTTGCCTATATTTGTGCAGTTGTTACATAGTGATATCATAAAATAGAACATTAAGACATTTGTATTCTTCCATACATTATGTTAAGAAATGTATGTTGCTCTCTAAAATGACACCTATTTAAAATCAGGTATTACTTAATTTGATTTTTTTCCAACTTTTTAAGATCAGGTATATTCTTGCTTCATGCATACGTAGTCTTTGTCATTTTAAATTCTTTTATAATTTCTTGTTAGTTTTTATTTCTGACTGATTTCATTTATTGTAGGCAGCTCTTGTCTTGACTAGTTTGTACAGAACCTTTTTTACACAACCCTTTTTACACAGAACTAAGATACATTATCTTTATTTTAACTTAGATCTGTTGTGTAAATTTCTAAGAATCTGTTGCTAATAAGAGTTGTAAGATCTTAGATAACTATAATTAAGGAGAAATTCACATACTTCATCCAAGATAGTTTATAAATATATTCTTTTCTTTTACAAGAATTTCAGGAACCTTACATTGTTGAAACAGTCATAAATTTGTTTTTCAGAGAAATATAGGTATAAATTTACTATTATCTTCAAAACAGTCATCAGACTCCTCCTTGTGCAAGCTTTTTGGTATAAAAAAATAGTAATAAATGACAGTAAAAAAAAACTTGAGTGCATTAAAATAGGAAAAAGTAACTGCATAATTGTTGTAAAAGGATTAGTGTTTAGCATTCTTCAATAAGAATNGCGCTACGGACGGCGGGTAAGTAGTTCGGCTGCCCGATGACGTTTTACGTATTATAGGAGTTATTTTTACCGTTGTTTACGGATAATGCCACAATTTTTATAGGAATCATAACTATAGGAAATGGTTTTATAGGGGGATCTACTGTATTTATGTATAACTGGCTTTGTACTTTTATTTTTATTACTTGCCTTTGAAAATGATTTTGTTATATTTTTATTTTGAACTTGTATCTTTTAAACAAAATTTTAAATATTTGACATAGAATAAGAGCATTGATTTTTTTTTCTATTTCTCAATTAAAATATTTGATTACATAAATTGTATAAACAAAAAATAAAAGTTTGAAATAGAACAGTAATTCAAATAAATATTAAAAAATTGTTAATTGAAATTTGTTTAACTGTTCTTTATGAAATTGGCTGTTCCAATGACAAATAAAAAGTATATGTTTGCTAATAAATGTTTTGTTTTTAGAACAATTTATTTTGCCTCAATGGAATCAATGTTTTGATTTAGTAAAGTAATATTATCTCAAAATCTGTATTTTCACTTAACTTCTACTAAAAATAAAAATTTTATGTTAAGATGTAGCTCAAACTGAAACAGAATTAATTTAAGCTGTAGCTAAGTCTCTCTTTTTGTAAGATTTTATTTATAGTAAAAATGATATGAAATTGCAGTTTTTCGGACCTTATTTTGTAAAGTTATAACACATTGTTTTACTACTAGAAGTGTTAAAAATCAGTATTTTAAATTTAGAAAGAATTACAGTAGAGTCTCTGTAATTCAACATATATCAGGCTGGCAAATGTTGGATTACTGGATTTTGTGTGTATGTACACACTGTACAGTAAAAAATACAATTGGTTTACAGGTTAGTTTGTCATATTAATTATCATTGTGATTGTTTTTTTGATCACATTTGCAGCCACTAACAGTATATGCATACATCAGTCTCTCACTGTTCCATACAACAATGAGGGGTTTATGTGAAAATTTCACGCATGCTGGCCTGCAGAGTGTTGGATTACTGGACATGTCAGAGTGGCAAGCGACAGATTATAGAGACTCTACTGTGTTTGCTTCTGAATAACATATTACATAATGCCATCATTTTCACTAATAAATCTGAAATAATTTTTTTTTTGCATTTGAAATAATATTATAAAAATATTTTTCATTGCTGTTTTTTATCTGTTATTTCTTTTGCAAGCTTTTAAATCAAATATTTTAGATTTTTTAAAACAAAATTATGTGAAAATTATAGTAAATATTTTCAATTTGATTTTCAGTTCTTACTTTTTTCCTCTGTAGAATGAAGCATGACACGCACATTTAAAATATATGTTTTTGATAGTAATTATGAATTAAATGAGTATTTTTCTTTTAATCTTTATTTTCAGACTTTTTTCTTTTTCAGTGTAATTTTATCTCAGATTTATTAATGTAAATAATGCATCAGCTTGATAAAAATTAAATAAACCATGCATTGGCATAATGCTTGATTTATTTTAATCACTCTTAGCAGCATTTATAATTAGATATTTATAAGTAAATTAAAAACCCAAATTATCAAATGATGTAAAAGGCAACTGCCAGGTGATATATATTAATAGTCAGATTATGTAAGTTATGGTAAATATAGATATACATTTTTCTCATTGTTGGTTCTTCATCTTTATATCAAGATAACATTTAAGATTTTGTTTTTTGGAAGAAATAAACTGTTTAAACAATAAAGAGAAGGTTTGATTGGCTGTGTTTGCACTGTCAGCAACAAAAACTGATATTTTTATCTTTTGTTGTGCAAAAGTTAGCCGAGATTCAACATTTGTTGTCGTCACAACAGTGTTGAACGATTGATGTGAACTTCCCATAATTCTATTTGATCAAGATGGAGGAATGGCTAATATTGTGATGAAAGACGGGGGCTTAATAAATTCCGCTGTCGAAGAATTAACATATTACATATCCTTTTTTAAGACAAGTCTGGTCTAAAAATACAGAAATTCTTGGAATAATGCTCTAATGTGAAAACCAATAAACAATATGCAAAACTTTGACAGTGAATGAATATAACAAAAACTTACTATCTTTATCATTTAGGATCTGTGGTTGTTGTCATCAGCAGTGTGAACATAGCCTTAAAGGTTGCATGTACAGTATATAAGCAAACTAGATATCTGTCAAAGTAATATTAACTTCCTGATACACATGTCTATAAGATGATAATAAGAAATTTTAAATTCTTTTCCTTGTCAAGTATAATTTTATAGTCACATTTTTTGTTGCTTGATATAAATTACCATACTTTCTGGCATATAAGACGACCCCCAACTTTTACAGTTAAAATAAAGAGTTTGGGATATACTCGCCATATATGACAACACCCAGTGTATAAGATGGCCCCCAACTTTTGAGAAGATTTTCCTGGGTTAAAAAGTCGTCTTATATGCCAGAAAATATGGTATATTTTTATACTTATTACAATTTATCTTTAACTTGAGTTATGATGGATTGTGCAAGTGTAATTTTGTGTTTGTAAATTTCACTCATATCTAATTTTTATCAGATAACATTTTTAAAGGTTTCAGTTTGAGAGAGGTTCTAAATTAAGAAACACTTTATCGAATCAGAAGGTTAATATATCCAGCATTTGAAAATATTTAAATATTTTAGGATATTTACAATTGAAATACTTCTGCTATCACAGTTCTTTAGATTAAATGTTAACAGAAAAATTAATTCATAAATCACTTGTGAATTAAACTAAAAATATTTTTATATTCATATTCTGATTATAACAACAAATTATCGTGGAAATTTGATTAAAAATAGTTACTGTTTTGTTACACAAAATTTTTTATATATTTAACTGTATATTTAAACAATGATTTATTAACATTTACACACTTACTATATAAATAGAAATACAGTAGACCCCCCTATAACATGGTAGATATGTTTTGTTTTATATGAATTCTGTGTTTTACAAGTCACTTAAATACATGAGCCAGTCACAGCCCAGCACGTGTGCAGTTTTACGGTCTATGGCTGTTTGAAAGGTTTTCTTCCATAAAATTAATCGATTCTAGAGTAATTTGACTCAACATTTCCAAAACATATATAATTTTTTGGGAATAATCTATATAAACTATGCTATAAACAAAAAATTGTAGGATTACTTACCAAGTGTGCATTGTTTGACGATGCCATTGCTTAAGCTTGTTTTCGTCATGGAGCGGCGCATCGAACGGCGGGTGCGTGTTTTCTGATAAGTTATTTTTCTGCGAAAAATTCACTGAACTTTGGAGACATCATTAATATAAATATAATTTTTATGGCAGTTAAATAATAAATGTTTTTTAGTAGGTCTGCTGCTCATTTAAACTCTACGGTTTGTGCAATATCCGCTATTGGTCTAGATTCAACCAATCCTGTTGCGACATGAGTTGGCGATGATGTTTTACTGTATTACACGAGTCTCTTTTAGCATGTTTATATGAACACGATCGCAATTTTTTTGCTGTGTTATACAAATCCGTATTATATGAACCTGTGCTATCGGGGGGGTCTACTGTACAAATCTTTATTGACAAGCAGGATAAAGGTCAAAAGATTCTACTAGGGTTCCAGTATATCTTTCATATAGTTTGCATTTTAACAATTATTAAATTTACAAATTTGTGATATATTATGTAATATTCTAAAACAAAATCTCTCTTGTTTTTTTTATTTAAACAATTAAATAAATTAAATAATTTCAAACACACGTTTAGTGATCAGCTACATCATGTATCTTCAGCATCATATTATTACAAATATTAAAAATGTCTACTTTGGAAAGCCAAATCTTTACTTGAATAATAAATGTTTTTCACCTGATCTTGGTAACCTCAGCTTACAATTCAAACTAAGGTTGCCCTGGAGCAGGATAAAAACAGTTATTATTCAGTTAACAGTTTATTATTCAGTTAAAAATTTCTCTTTCCAAAGTAGGTATTTTTAATAATCATAATATTTAGTGATACTATATAGTATCATTTTAAAGTTTGTCTTTTTAAGAAATGATTTTCAAAATTTTATATAGGCATTTTGATTTATGTAATATTTTATTCTATAGAAAATTACATGAAAAAACTTCTTTTTTAATCATAAAAAGAGATATTCTTTAGTAATGTATATCTGATGAGTTATTAAACAAATATAATACACACTGGTGTCCAAAATTAAAGTCCAAAACTATAATTTTGGCTATTTTATAAAAACTGAATCAAATATAACAATACTTGTATTGTGTGTTCAAATATACTTGAGAAACATTTAGCTAAAATGAAATTTTTGTATATTAGAAACTGGAAAGTTGACAAATAGGCAAATTAAGTTGTCACCGTAAATGTAGCCAACAATGCATTGGGCATTTCTTGTTCTCAGACAGAGCAAGAAACTTTTCATTGCATTCAAAATGCTTTCCCTGTGACTCACACACATATACTCAATTAAATGTGATGGAAAGTCATATGACAACTGGAAGCTTCAGTTTCAGGCCCAGATCATATGACAACTGGAAATACAGTCTCAGGCCCAGATCACAAGGGAATTGAATATCCACATTAGAGTGGTTTTTTTTTGCTAAGGTAACAGTTTGGTGAGACTGGTGATAAATCAAGAGGACCTTACCAAGGTTGTCCAAGGAGTACAATGCTAGGAAGATTATATTTGGCTTTAATTGTGAGTTTGCATACTTTCATACAACTATCTTCAGAGATCTTCGTAGATACTGGAATAAATGTATCATGGAAAAACCGTATCATGGATTCTTGATGTAATTTCATCTAGAGGAAATAAAGAACTCATTATTCCTTTCAAATATCAGAGAATGGGACTCTTCGAGATGATGGTTTATTGGGGTGGGGTGGCATCATGATAAATGGTCACATACCTTTTCATATAACTATATACAAACAAGACCAAAAACATTTGTGTTTTGATTTAATTTTTTTTTTTTTTTTTGATTTTGCTGGAATATAGAAAGTATTTTAATGGATGATAGTGGTCAACTGTAAAAGGCTTAGGCTATAAATGAATTTCTATAAAGTGATAATATATATATATATATATAGAATGAACTGGCCAGCCATTCTCCAGATTTGAATTTAATAGAGAATGATTGGGATTACCTTGGAGGGCAGATTTTATCTCATCAACCTTGCCCAGAAGTTAAGAATGGCCCTCATTGAGGAATTCCTTGGACTAAGAGGTTATAAATGGCCTGTTTATGATTGTTTTATCATCACCAGTCTTGTATATTCATAAGAAGTCATCATATTCCTTTATTAAAATAATAAGTCTCAAATTTGAGTTTTAAAGGTATGACCCTAGATATGAAAACTGTATACATACTTTTTTATTGTAATAAAATATTTATTACCTTTACAGTTGTACATCTTTACGTCCAAAATTTTTTACTTCCTATCAGGCAATTTAATATTATTTTTGAAAACATCTTCTGGACTTTAATTTTGGACATCAGTGTTATTTACTTATAAATTACTTGATAAGTATTGAATGTAACTATAAAGTTATTTATTTGAACGACAATATATCTTTTAATATGAAAATCTTTATTTTTGATACTTTTTGATTTTTTTTTATTATTTTTCTTATTTATTTAATTCATTTTCTATATTGTTTATGATTAAATATTATATAATAACATTTTGCTCTTCCTACCCTTTTTTGGTGTCTACCGACCCTTCTGCAGATATTAGCGAATGCTGTTGTCAAAGTGGTTATCCCAACCGAAAGGTACTGGTAAACTTGACTAATTCTCTCATCATATATAACTGATATTCCTCCTTTCTTCATTCATCCTTTAAATATTCAATGGATGATTTCATTAAATCAAAAAATTATTATTATTTAAATACATTTTTAAATCGGTGCGGGAAGTTAAAATCTTTCATTTTCTTAATTTTGAGACATTTAATAAACGTGTTATTAAATGCTTTGAAATTAAGGAAAATGAATTCTTTGAAAAATTTTTAATTGGCACAATTTAAAATATTTCATACAAAGCTTTTCTTTGGCTAAATATATTTTTATTTCTAGTTCAAAAACAATTTTTTTTAATGTATTCAAAAAATTTTTAAATTTAATGATAAAAATTATAGAATAATCTAAAAAAATTTTTACACATTAATTATTTTTAAAAAATTTTATGATAATTAAATCTACTAAAAAGTTTTGAAATAAAATTTTTATAGTGTATAAGGTTGCAAAAAAAATTTTTTTTACATTTAAAATAAATTTTTAATTGGTTATTAGATGATTTCTTCAATTGTAAATTTTATATATATTTTACTCTATTACTGCATTATTTAAAATATTTTATATTTACAATTATTTAAGATTAATAAACAGTTAAGTTTAAAAGACTTTATAGTTTAAAGCTAGAGATTTTGCTGAAATTATAAGAGTTGATCAGAAAGTAAGTTTATAGTATCCATAAATCAACGTTTAGGATTTTAATGGAATGAACTTAAAATGCATAATAAAGGTGTCTTGGTGCACTTCAACATAGTTTCATTGAAATTAATTGAGCCTGTGATATATAGAATGTACAGGACATACCTCTTTTTACATCAGCCATGCTATGATAGTACTTCTGATGACTTTGTCATGAGTGATATGACATTTTGATAAGTGCTTTTTTTAGGACAGGAAGTAAACAAAATCTGTTAAGTCTGCTCACATGGTCACTGGATGGCTTTCTACATATCTCGTGTAGCTTGTGGTTTGAATAATACTTAAAGGTATAATTAATGTAGTCCAAGTGGGAAGGTGGGCGAGTTTGTTGACAAGGAGTTGGCCATACACAAGCGTTTAGATAACTCAACAAATTTTAATGGTAAAACTAATGGGTTACATGAGANACCCCTAGTATACAGTTTGCATTTCTTTGCAATATTAAGAGAGATGCTGTAGGATGTCTTCAGTCCTCCTTCTCTATCAACACTAGCAGATGACTTCAAATATGTATTCAAATTTGGCCGAACTCTCAATTTCTCTTTTAGTATTTTGAAATACTCAAAATCTTTGTTTTTCTTATTAGAATGGATTCTTTCCAAATGGTCTTTCATTTTCACTGGCTTCACAGCATCATTGTTGAAAGATTTTTTGCATAATAAGCACATAGGAATAGTTTCATTAGCAAACGATGGCACAAAACCATATTTCAAATACTCCTGTGAATATTGTCTGCATTTCTTCTTATCATTGATAGCCAACATTGTGGGTATTAAAATCAGATTTTTAATATGAAAAACACAATACGTTTGCAGCACAACAAAACAGCAGCAGTAAGAGAGACAACTTACTCCTACACGAGCTATAAAGAACTGCCTGTTTATTTTCAGAGTCCAGTGTTGCCACTTTTTGCTAACAATAGATATTTAGAATTGGAAGGAATTATAATTATTCTAAACTATTAAACTAAAGATATTAATAAATGTGCATGATTTTTTCATATGAACATAATGATAATTTGATTTTTGGTGAATTTTTTAAATAACTGACTGACCTATATTGCTGTTGGACAGTTTACAAAATAAACGTAAACAAGATGTCGGTGGTAAAGGGTTAATGATTTTCGATATATTACGATATTTTCTCTGTAAAGGACAAAATATCTATATTTAGATATAAAATACTTAGAGTGACAACCCTACTAGAGTGTAACAGTGCAATGTATGTCTGTGTATAATGAACTACCAGTGTTCATAATATGTTTGCAACACTAGTACAGTTGCCAGATGCGTGAAAACAAAGTAACACATGCTTAAAACAGCATAGACTAAGGCAAAACTGAAGTTATAACTAGGGTAGTCAGTAACATTGATCATATCTGTATTTCGAATTTTTGTTGGAATATTCTATTTTTTTCCTAGACAGTTTAATTGGGCCTCTTGTGTATTAATCAACCACTTTGGGGACCCCTAGTTTAGTTTGACCTAATAAAAATTTGTCTATCAAATAGCAATGCAGTAGAAAATGAGAATATTTTGATTGAAACTACAAATTAATTACTCTGTACAAATATTTGGTTGAAACAGTTAATGGATTTGAGAGAAAAATAATGCCTAGAAGTTTTATTGTTTCAGCTTGTAATAGTGACTGTAGGAATTATAAAGTGAAAAATTTCTATATTTGTATTTTCAAAAGATACAAATAAGCAAAATGGATAATACATTTCCAGTTTTAAGTAATGTGGGTATTTATGAATTGCATTTTGAAGATCATTTCATCAAAAGTGTTTATTATATTAATGACAAGAAACATTCTCTAGTCAGAGAAGTATTTAAACTAATATGCATTATCAACATTATTTCCTTATTTCCCATTTTATATTTGTAAACATTTATGAAAACTACAAGCCAACCCACAAAAACAACAATCAACAGAATTAAGCTCACAAAGGAAATATTTTAGAGTAAATGATATCATTTACTTATTTATACAGAATATTAAAAGTAAATTGTTGTTATTATTGGGCTGCAATTTTAAAAAGTAGACCTATAAATTCCCACTGTCAACTGCCTGTTTTTCCATAATCTTGAGAATGGTGTTAGATACAAGAAACTCAAGACATGTCAATAAACATTGTTTCGAATTTCTTGAAACAATGTTTATTGATGTAGTTAGCCTGGGAAAGCAGTTTGAGCAGTAATATGTCACAAATCAAAGATTACAAGTGATTTATTGTTGAGAAAAAAAAAATACAATGAAAAGTACAGATAAAAAAGAAAAGTGTAATAAAGAAATTAGATTAAACTAAACTAAACTAGAGTAAAAATTAAAAATAATAAAAAAATAATAAAATAAAATCAGTTTGCATTTAAGTGGGAAAAGTCTTGGATAAATTGGAGCCACTCATTAAAACCATCCATGTTTGAGATTTTGTCCAGTCTGGACTGAGGGAACTGTAATGTTGGTGAGTTGCTTGACATGGCTAAAAAATATATGTTTGAAACAGTTACATAAAATCCCTGACAATGACCTGTTGATCAGGTTGAAAACATTTGTTAAAACAATAAATGTTGGTTTTCAGAGATATAAGGTGTGTGTGTCATAGTTACATAAAAGTTGAAAATTTCCAATGAGATGAGAGGAAGGAGTTGAGTGTAACTGCTGACATGTTGAACGAAGGAAATGACATTTTCTTTAAATTGGTACAGTTACAGCAAAGGAAATCAAAGAGCTAGGTAATGTGACACAATCTATTGGGATGAGGGATGTAAATCTGGTTCCTTTTTCGTAGAACACAGATAACTTTTCTGTAGTTCAACTGAAATTCACTAAACTCTGGAAAAATATTAGGCAACTGTCTGGCTTTATATTCCAAAACATAGCACCCAAAAATGTCAAAATACTTTTTTATTATTAAGTGTCAAAGAAGCAAAAGTTGACATTTTTGTTTTTTGAATATATCTTTTCTCAGAGTTATTTATATTTTGCAAGAAATAATTTATGCACACGCAAGGGTTCTACTGAGCATTTTGACACCAAAATCATCAAAATGTAACGTGCAAATTTTTTTTAAAAAGTCAGACACGAAAGCACAAAAGTTACTCCAGAAGTCTGATCTCACTTACTGCTTGCCCAGGCTAATTATATATAACATTATCGTCGATATACATTTTATACATATATTAAAAGCAAAGTGTTCCATCACTGCCAACCAAAACTTTACAAAACCAAACCATCACTTTACAAAAAGTGCTATAAATAGAGACTCTGAAGTATAACCAAATCAATCAAGACAGACAAGTACTTTATTCATACTTTCTGAAATATGTTTTAATTGCTTTGATTTAAATTTTAATTAATATATTTTATTTTAAATTTTAGTTTCAGTGTAAGAACCAGAGTTTTAATTATTATTATATTATTTGTAGTTTTAATTAACTGGCTAGTAGTATTAATAAATATGTTTTAATTGCTTTGATTTAAATTTTAATTAATATATTTTATTTTAAATTTTAGTTTCAGTGTAAGAACCAGAGTTTTAATTATTATTATATTATTTGTAGTTTTAATTAACTGGCTAGTAGTATTAATAAATATTATATTATATTATATTAATAAATTTTTGTTGTTTTATTTGAGTTAAGCACTTTTAAACATGAATTTATGGATGTAATTTATATTACATGAATGTCAATTAACGTGGTTTTTATTAATGTTCTTCTAGTAGGATATTTTTAATATTTAAACTTAATACAGAGGTTGAATCAGTTAATATCAAACAATTTCTTACACAAATGGTATGCTCGTGTGCAAATATAAATCATGTATGTACTTTAGAATCAGCCAACATTCTATAATATTCTGTTAGCAGCTTTATTGAAATAACTGTAATTATGGCAATGAAAATAACGGCATATCGGGAAGGAATTATCTGTGGACTTTCCAATGCTAAATTCCAAAGCTTTTTCATGATAGTAAAGAAGTGTTCAGAAAAAGTTATTCGTGTAAGTAAATCAAGCATTATTCAAAAGTGCAACCAGTTACCTTCTGAAGTCTATGGGCATCCCAAGAAAGAACAAAGATGTCATACTCAGCCATCTCATCCTTAGTGAAGATTGATAAATCCATGCCAGTGTTCTCGTGAAGAATCCTGAAAAACAAAGAAGTTTGTCCCAAAAGCTAAAAATGCCACAAGCTACAGTGGGGAGGGTCATTTGTGAAAATATTGGTCTTGAGCATAAACATAAAGCCAATGCACACCATCTCAAGCCAAACCACAT